CCTCTCCTCCGTCGATTAAAGGTAGGCAACGCATATGCAATTGCGTATGTCTATGGGCAACGGTCACTTCGCTATTTCAGCGATTTCAGGTGGCCGCTCGCTCGTTTGCCACCTTATGATATAAAAAATAAAAAAAAATGTCAATTTGCAATGGCGGCCATTACGTTAGACTTTAGTTATTTAGTGAAAATTGTAATATAAAGTGATTTGATATCCTACTAATATTATACATAAATGCGAATGTTTGGATGGATGTTTGTTTAAAGGTCCAGGACGGCTGAACGGATTTCGATTAAATTTGACATACATTTAGAAATCAGTCTAAAAGAACACATAGGCTACTAATTATGTTTTTTTTTAATACCGCGCGGACGGAGGCACGACGACAGCTAGATATAAAAAATAGCTAATGTTGCAATGGTTAAGTCAATAAGTATTTTTTATTTTTATTATTGAATTTATACTTATATATTTTCAAAGATCATCAGCTACACGTCCCCACTGAGAAGCTTGGAACCTACTCTAAGTTAGGGGCGTTATCCCATAGTCAACCACGCTAACCCAGAGAGGGTTGACTTCACACATATCTTTGAATTTCTTCGCAGATATGTGCAGGTTGTATTGCGATGTTTAAAGATAATTTGCGCGATGATAATTTGGCATTTGTTTCGCAGTGGAAACCCACTTTTTTAACAATTAATGTTGTCATACCAAAAACAATAATTACAGAACCACTGAAGTATTTTTTTTAATTTAAATGTAACAATAAAGATTGTTTTATGTAGAAAATATTTGTGTATTACGTAAATATTGTACATAATATATATTTACGATGTAAATATATGTCTATATCACATTTATAGCAAACATAAATAATATAATTATGAAAAAAAATGTTCTTTTTTCAAATATTATTCATCATTTTAAAAGATAAAGATGCTCGATAACTCGAATTTGCCAAATATTTTATTATAAAAAGAAAAAATAAAATAATTATAGTATAATATATTTATAAGATACATATAGTATAATATATTAGTACCTGGATGACGGAGCTTTGCTCGGTATTTTTTTTAAAATTGTGGTTTTTGGAAGTTTTATTTAAGTACGAATTACTAATAAAATGATGAAATATGAATATTATTTTTCGATCTTACCGATAGAAAAAGTTAAGTTTATGTTTAAGTTGATTATCGATAAAACACGAATTTTCTAAAAATGATTCCTAGCTAGATCGATTTATCGCCCCCGAAACCCCCTATATACAAAATTTTATGAAAATCGTTGGAGCCGATTCCGAGATTCCTATTATATATATACAAGAATTGCTCATTTAAAGATATAAAGCATAAAAGAAATTTGATGGAGAAATTATCAAATTAGGAAATCTTACTAATGTTATATATGCGAATGTTTAAATGGTTATGTTTGTTTGAAGTTTTCTCCAGAATGGTTGAAGGGATCTTAATGAAATTAAGCATACATGTAGAATATGGTCTGAAAGAACACATAGGATACTAGTTTTTTTTTTAATTCCGCCCGGACAGAGTTGCGGGCGTTAACTAGTTCTATAATAGTTAGGATGTTGCATAAAAGAAGTTTGATGTAGGAATTGTCAATGAAAAGTAACGATAAATAGAGAACTCAAATTATTGCTTTAATTCGTCCATTTATATTATTTAGATAAAAATTAAACATTTAATTTATTGTTATAAGAACTTAACCGAATTTAATTATTTTTTTACACAACAAAAAACACAATTTACGACAAATAACGTCTGCAAAAAAATAAGTAAAATTAATTAAAATATAAAATTACAAATATTTTTGCGCTCTGCAGCCCTGGTTAAAATTTATTTATATTATAAATACAAAATAAAATCTACTTATAAAAATTAAATCACATATTTAGTCAAGGAAAACAAATCTATAATAATTTTTAAAAAAAATTAAGTAATATTTCTAGGAAATCCGAATATAAATCTATGTCTTACCTGGATAATTTACAGCATAACAGCAAGACACAGAATAACACACACAGCACTTAACACGTGTAAACTCTTACTGTGGAAATTGTCGGCGCAGTAACAACGCCGACGGCCGGCGCTAGTGTTGTGATCCCAACGTCGCGCGCCACCTCTTATATAGCCTGTAGCATCAAATGAGGAGCGTCAGCAAAAACAGCTCGCAATTATTCGTATCACTGTCGATCATTAAGCGTGATTTCTTTCTCCTGTATCCCGTATGACATATATTTTGTCTGGTTATTTCTCGCGGTATAACTTTGGTTTTCAATATTTTCGATACTTATTATTATGTTTTAATTATGTACTTTTTATATAATACGGTTGACCACGACTTTATCCGTTCGGAATTAAAAAACTTAATTATTAGTCCATGTATTCTTCTAGACTATGTTCTACATATATGCCAAATTTAACGGTTCTGGAGATACTTTCTAACAAACATCTATACAAATATTCGCATTTATAATATTAGTAAGATTACAGGGATAGGAAAATATATATATATATTTAGTATATTTTGTAACGGAACTATGTTTTCCAAAATTGTAACTGAAATATGATGAGACATAATTGTGTAATAAAAAATCTTAGTGGTCTTTTACTAAATTTTATCTCAACAATTTTCGAAGGTTTATATTCAAAAGTTCTCTAAAGTATAAACAATGATTAAATCAAAGATAATTTTTAGAATAAATATATAATATATCATATTATCCTTACGTTGAATCTGTTCTGCAGACGGTACATATCGGTACCAACTGTTGAATTGCAATGGGCCATTCCCACCGCATCGTAGGACTCTGCCGACCCCATACTTCATATTCATTAGTTTGCTGTGCTAAAATTGTTTGCTATCATTGTTACCCCTTGGCACTCGTAGCGTCCATTTTCCTTGAAAAATATATATATTTTTTATATTTATCTTGTTATGATTTATTATTTACAATATCGATTTTGATGAGCTAATGATCAAGGAATCTGGTAAGTCCCCCCCCCTTTCCTTCCAATCTTAAAGGATGGGAAGGGAAAGTGAATCTAATGGAGCAGGAGTCGCATAGGAAGGAGACATATTCTCTTTCTGTGCGGTTCTTCTGATTAAAAGTAGGCAACTTGCAATTGCGGATGTCCACAGGCAGTGGTCGCTTCGCTATTACGGCGAATTTAGGTAGCCGCTTGCTCGTTTGCTACCTTATAATATTTTAATAAGGCACTCATTTGGTGGTAATTTGGGTGTTCATTGTAAAAAATGTTCAATGGAATTGAAATAACGATTACAAGTAACTTTTAACTGGATATTTGGTAAAATAAATTAACCATCTTTTTTAGGTTAAGAACCTTGTGAAAATTTCTTTTCACTTTTCCGCGTGTTTTCCTTAAAAATGTCGGCAAGATTTTTGTTCTAGTTAATTTGTATCTCAAAGAGAATTGAACCATTTCGAAGGCTTGAAATAATTATTTACTTTGTTCAAAAAAAATCTTTTACATTTTAGATAAAAATTTTAGCTATAATTACGAGTATGACTTGTCTATTATATTTTAAAGTAGTTCTCGCCCGCGACTTTGTCTGCGCAAGACTAAAAAAAACTTAATTAGTAACCTATGTGTTCCTCCAGCCTATGTTCTATATTTATGCTAAATTTCAGTAAGGTCCACCATCTAAACATTCGTATTTATAATATTAGTAAGATTTCATCCTTTGAAATATTCTTTTGGACTAGTATACTAAAACCATGTCGACTCTCACTTGGCCTTAAAGTCGACCACTGTTGCGCGTAGATGTTCTTTTCATCACCAAACATTGGTCCTTGCGATGCACTTCCAATATTTTGACCAGGTCCATCTATCTATCAGTCTTCTGCAGGCTTACATACACTGCGTCAAACTATAGGAAACGGTCATTCATAAATCTTTCGGCTTCAGCGACGTTTTGTCCAAATTTGACACCAAAATGTTCTTTATATGTTAAAGTATACTCAGAGATGTTAAGTGGCTACTAAGAGACATTTTTGGTGTAGATTTTGTAATGTTTCTTACATTGGATGAGTCAATTAACAACGACTATCCTTGATTTTGTACATGTTAGCAGACTTTAAGGTTCGTGGTATCCAAAGTATTTGTATCCGTATTTGTATCCATATTTGTATCCATTCGTACCCATCGGCCACGCGATCGTCGCGAGCTCTCAGTTGACAAATATACGTTTGTTTTTAAAAATCCACACGAACGTTACCCATTGTTCTCGATTCAATGTCGTTACGGAATCAATAAAGTTTTTGGAATTCCTGTTAAACTGAAGATGATATAAGATCTTATTGGATACATTCATTTCATTGTTTTATTGGCTTTTTTAAGCGCTACAGATCTGAATAATTGTCTATGTAATCATAGATGTATTCAAATAATTGTGTCATGAAATTGTTTGTTCCTGTCGTCAGACGTTGCTTGCACTAATCAAGTCTGATTTTTAATTAATAATCAAACCATTAAAAATAAGTTGATAATTATAAGAAGCTGCAAATTAATTACTTAACATTAGTTTTCATCGACTTATAATAAACTAGCTGTAGCACGCGACTCTGTCCGCGCGGAATTAAAGAAAAAGTAATAAGTATTCTATGTGTTCTTCCAAACTATGTTCTACATCTATGACAAATTTCCTCAAAATCCGTTGAGGCGTTCCAGATACCTTCAAACAAACATCCATCCATCCAAACATTCGCATTTATAAAACTAGTAAGATGTCACGATTTTGGTTTAAAAACCACCCAGACTGTCTGCTTCATAGTTTTTTTTTTAATTCAGTTGTTTTCTTTAATTTGTACGTAGCCGTTTTTAGTAGATGATAAAATTAACAAGGTGTGAAGATAAGGCGCTTCGTAATAAGTCGGAGTATTTTGACAGGGCCGGGCACCTGACACTTTTAAGTTGATTGAATGAAAACACGCCTTGCGAACCACGTCTTCACCTGCCCTGAACGCCCACAGACTAAATAATTAATAGATATTGCACGTAATATTTTTTTTTATAAATTTTGGCAAAAAAGTCAGCTTGCATCTGAAATCGCTAAAATAGCGAGGCGACCACTGCCCATAGACTAAAAAGTTACATTTCAGCATTGAATATCGTCCGAAAGTAATAAAGCGATTTGAAATAATTCTTTCACTGTTGGAAATCTAGAGTATCCCTAGGTGACATAGGCTATATTTTTTTTTAATTTACAGATAACTGCCAGTGTCTATTAATTGCGCTAAAGCCAGATAAAAGAATAATTTTTTTTTCTACGAATTTTATAAACTTTTGTGCCAATGATATAAAATAATTAACATAATAAACGAGATGGGTGCCAGGGAATCGGATCAATTGGAAACTCTTTTTAACCGATACCCGAAATTTTTGTTGATCAAAGCTCAAGCGATTCGAAATTTGAAATTAATTGTCTCAATAAAGTTTGGACGCAGTCTCTGGTTTTCGACATGAGTGCAATATTTTTATGAACAAATCAAATTAAAAAGACTTTAAATAGTTTATGACTTTTCTTAATAATAGATTTGCTTCGATTTACTGGGATTATATTGCCCGTGGGTTTGTTTGCGCCATTTTATTATATTTCTGGAATGCTTGTATGAAAGAATGCGATGGGGACCAACGGACAGTGAAATTGTTATTAGATAATATTTACTTTATGGCTTTGATGGGAGTGAATACTCTATGGATGTGGTTACTGATGCAACTTTCACACGAGGGCATCCCAGTGTAGACATTGCAGTACTGTTTGAAGTCACACTTACTTTTAAAATAGAACCGTTCTATCCTTCTTTACGTAGCAATTATTGTTGTTCTTATCTTATCCTTGTTATTCTTAGTTTACTACCCTCGTGTGAATAAATCCGATACTCAGATTCTCATTGACAATACAATATGTAAGTCACTTTCCTATCGTAAATGCCGTTCGGTTTGTAATTTGTCTAGGCAAATTACAAAGAGTCGGGAACTCGAAAGTATCACCATTTCAAAGGTCGGTAACGCAACTGTGGTTCCTCTGGTATTGCAGATGTCCAAGGTCTTCGTTAAACCCCTCGGTGTTTCCACTGCTTGTTTGCCCCTTCTCTTATAAAAAAAAACCATCAAGGTGTAGTGTAGGGTTTTCATTAGTAGAAATTGTGGATGTGCTCTATGTGACAAATATCGGCTATAATTTGTTATTCCAAATAGGAAATTAAAAAAAAAACAACGTGACTACATCCAATATTCATGGCTGCATATGAATGTATATTTTCTTCAAAAGCCTTTCAAGAGGCTTCGAAGTTTTAAAATAGAACGTTTTAAAATTGTGCCGTTAGTAAGGAGTTGTAGATGTAAGAAACGATATTGCAGTTTCTTTTCATTGAGCTCGCAATTTTCCATCATAGACGATTTTATGAATGAAACTCAATTCTCATTTATGTTATTACATATTAGTTGTTGCCTGCGACTTCGCCTGTATGTTTCTTTAAAAAAAAACATAACGTATGTTCTTCTTATGTACGTCAGCATTTGAAAGTTAAGATAAAATCGGTCCAGTTTCTTTGGAGATTATTTTTGGCCAAAGATAATCTTCAATAATAGAATAAAGAGAGTCTGCAGTAGTTTTCGCTATTTTATAAATTTAAGGTTATTTGTTTAAGTTAACAGCGATAGTAAGGTATACTAGTTTTCTAGCGTAAAATGTTTAACAGAATACGATGACGTTTGAACAAAATGGCGGCTGTGATTTTGACACATTGAAAATTAACCGCCCATGTATTATTTATGTTTTCATACGTCTGATATGAATTTACATGTTAATTTTATAACATTAAATGTGAATTGTTTCAGATCGTTGAGCTGTTGTCCACTTTAACTCGAATATGGTAAGACATTTGCATACGAATTTAAACTTATGATTTACAAGATTGTCCAAGTATTGTAGCGTGGGTTTCAAATGCCTTGGTTCAGTCATAAGACTGATATTTTGCCTTCTTATTACGATATATACGATTACTTTATACTATTATGTTGTTTATTGCTAGAAATTCAAGTTCTGCTCTGAGGGAGACTGTCCGCTGTGGGCGTTGGCGGCGCTGCACGCGCTCGGTGCCCTGCCCGCGCAACTCTTCAGGACTCTGCTTCATCATATCACTGAAGAACAGCCGGTTTGCAATTATTTTTAACAACTGTAACTTAACAGAAGTGAATTGTTTTAATGAATACAGATTTCTTTGGATGACCAAAGAAAGTATGGAGTAAGATTGTCTGAAAGAGGATATGCGTAAAAATTGGATGGATTCATATTTTTTTAAATTATAAGGTAGCGAACGAGCCAGTGCCTACCTGAAATCGGTGAAATAGCGTTGAAATATGACGGCCGATAGAGATGTATGGAGGAGTACATACTGTGCCGATCCTCCGTAGGGATAAGGTCAGGTGGATGATACAGTTTTTTTTTTATTTAATTATAGCACGCGCATTAAGCCACAAATTGACATAATATGAATATATTATATTAGTTGTAGGTTTGATTTGAATTAATAATAATTTATATATGTACCAACTCTGACATGTTTTCTTGCAATGTTAAACATTTGGAAACTAAAAACTATTCAATATAAGACGAAGTTAAAATTCCAAGCAACATGTAGTAGCAATTTTAAAAATATTAAATTTACACTTTACATTGTTCATGTGAAGTGCATTTTGACACGTAGACGCTGAGACAATTGGCAAATTGAGTTTGATACATGTCTTCGAAAACGTAATTATATTTTCCAATATTTCAGGTAAGAATGAACTTTAAAAAATATTTTTATCAGGCTCAAATTGGCAACAATATCTTACTAATATTACAAATGCGAACGTTTAGGTCTGTGGTTCCCAAACTTATGTTGTCTACTGCCCACTTTGAGAATAAATATTTTTTTAGCGCCCCCATATTCTCACATATTTAAAAACCACTATAACTTCAAATTAAATTAATTGATTATTGTGACCTATACATGTATATTAACGGAGAATTCTAAACGAAACTTTTACTTTAACCCGCAACTTGAGACCTGCAGCGCCCACAAGGGGGCGTTATCGCCCACGTTGGGAAATACTGGTTTAGGTGAATGGACGGATGTTTGTTTATAGGTATCTCCAGAATAGCTGCATGGATCTCCCTAAATTAATCTTAGATGTAGAACACAGACAACTAATTAATATTTTTTTTAATTCCGCTCTGACAGTTTTGCGGGCGACAGCTACTATTTACATATTTTAGAATTTGTTACCGAGTTACTACGAGCAGCTGTTTATAAATCTGATGTTAACGTGTTTGTCGCCTAAAATAACCTAAAATCCATATCTTTATGAACTTTGGAAGGAAAAAAAATGGCCGACCTTTGTAAATATTCAGTTGACAAATAACATTTGGTGACCCACGCGGACACTCTCGTCTAACATTAACTTAATAATGTATCACAAGAAAACCTCCGTTTGTTGACAGAACATGATGCTGTGATATTTTTCAAACATGTAATATTGTGTTTTATGTTTAGTTCTTGTGTAAAATCTTATTAATAATATAACTCCCGAACAGCTGAACGGATCTCGCTGAAATTATGCATAGATGTAGAACATAGTCTGGAAGAACACATAGGCTACTTATTAAGTTTTTTTAATGTCGCAAGGACGCAGTCATGGGCGACAGCTAGTATTAAAATCAAGTGTCAAGAATTCATAGGGTTCTATAGCTTTAAGAATAATGGACCTTCAGTAATGAAGAATACGAATAAGAAGAAGATAGCTTTAAGATTTATAAATGGTTCTCGAAATAAGTTTTGAAATAATACATACGTATATTAGTAAATGTTTATTATTATGTGAGCAAATATCTTTTTTTTAAATCTAATTATTGAAAAGGATATTTAAAAAGTTACCAAAAAATTTATTTTGACTATTGTTGCAGGATGATGGCATCATGGAGATATTGAAGAACACCAACTTATGTAAGTATTATTTCCACTGTAGCAACTGCGCATAATGATGAGCTATTACTTAAAGCAGTCAAACATTTGCTTAGTGGCAAAAGGGCCTAAAGTGTACCTAAAATATACGTTTAAATTGTATGCGATTATTTATGCGAATTTTTGGATGGATGGATGAATGTTTGTTAGACGGTATCTCCAGAACGGCTGCATGTGTCTTGCTGTAATTTGGCATAGATGTAGATTATAGTCTGGAAGAACACATAGATTACTAATTTGCGGGTTCTACTGAATCGCGGGTAACAGCAATGTTAGCAATAATTCTAGCATCACGCGAGGAGAGCGCGCGCGCAGCAGCAGTGATCCGGTGGACGCTGCAGCAGGCGCAGCGCTGCGGGTGCAGCGGCGTGCAACTAGCGCGGGACTTGTTAGTGCTGGGCGTGCCGCGCGCGCACGCAGCTGCATTTGCGGAGGCCGCGGATAACACGCGTGAGGCATACGTTGATAATGCACGAGAAAAAGCTTTATTTGGTAAGAAACTTCTTTGACATAAACCTTATTATACACAATACAGGCTATAAAACTTTTGTCAACTTTTATTTTACAGTGTCGATGGCCATTCAAAGGTTTGGTTAATGATCTTGAATGGTTTCGAATCCCGAAATTTAACTTTCTTTTTAAACCACTAATCGTGGGTTTCTGAGACCAAAATCTCCGTTTAAAACATATTGATATCTCTGTTTTTGTCAACTGTAATGACAAGGATGACGATATTTTTATACAGGAATTATGTTCTCAAAAGCTCACGGTAAATGGTTTATTTGTTTCTAAACTCCTTTCGTTATAGAAAGTCGCAGATATTACAATTTTTCTTATATTGCGTGTTTGCAATTTGTGTTTTTTTTTATTCTAAACTATATTTCTTTAAATTGTTTTGTTTCAGTTAACAAACTGACGGATATTACAACAGCCTCAGGTCCTGATGGTACAATAGATGTCGTTAAAGTGACGCTTAATTCAGAGGAAGTGTTCAGCGGAGAACAGAGGATTACAGATCTGTTAGTTGATAAGTCTATGTTGAAAACTTTGCTCGAAGAATTGAAGGCTGCAAGAATGAAAATGGAGGAAATTAGCACAGAAGTAAATGACTCGCAGAATCTATAATGGATTTGAATTCAAGCTTGTAATATGTTGATTTCGTTATATTTTAATTTAATAAATCATTCCGTAATTCACGTTTTATTTTTATATCTCTCTCACCTCAATCAAGTTTTCAATAAACCTAATATAGAGTACCTAAAATAATTAGTAACTGTAAGGGTCTGTACACACAGACCAGGGCTGAAAGCTTAGCAGATTCTGATCACCAAAAATTGAGCTTTAAAAGATTGGAACAAGTTTTAATTTTAATTCTCACGTAATATAAATTTCACGACAGATATGTCTAAAAATTACAATAAGAGTTTGTAAATAGTCCATATATATACATGCACTTATTTTTATAAAGGACCTTATACTTCAGGGTAAGCAATAAAAAAACATGATGATATCACGGAAAAATATGGAACTAATTCTGAAGCCGATTGTAGCGCCCTCAGGTCAGCATTTTCATACTCTTGATATGGCTATACTCTCCCTATGACTATACTCCCGTCTCTTATTTTATATACTCTTTGCTATACTCTTTTATGAATATTTCCGCTCTTTAATTTTTATTCCTTGGATTCGTGACATTTTGTGTTTTTTGAGTAATGAACATTTTCCAAATAAGATATGACCTAAAAGTCTATGCTACCAGGTCATAAAATTAAAAAAAATGTGTTTTTTGACATTTGAATTTGAAAGTTGTTTACCTTTTGTTTACGTTTTTAATTTCAATTTTTTACGCAAGTTTGTACGTTAAATCAAGTTAAAATAATTATTGTTAAATGATTTTTCTATTGAAATAAGTTTAAACGTGAAATATCCGTCCGAGCAATTACAATTATCACTTAATAACTGTCCTGCAATTACTTAAATGGTAGGTTATGTTTTAATTATAAATACCCTTTGTTATGGATAAATATTTATTTATTAAAGTATTCTATATTGCTTAATGTAATCTACTATCTTATTAAATATGTAGTTTCGTGTTTTAACTGTAACACACCTAACCTCAAGTTTAATGTTTTGAGTTTTTAATTTTCAGAAAAAATGCATATGCTATGTTCGATATGTAACGACTTGTTGAACCAAACTGAGAGTATTTACGCCATAAAATGTGGGCATATGTTCCATCATAATTGCTTAGCTCAGTGGATAGCAAGGTATGTTTCAATGTTTTGGTTAAAGTTGTTAAAAATTGAATCATTGTATAAAAAGAATAAATGTCATGCATATCTTATTATCATAGCCAATATATTTTTTTGTTAATTTAAGGTCCAAATCGTGCCCTCAATGCCGTAATAAGGTAACAGAGAAATGTATGTTCCGGCTGTATCCAACAATATGTAATGACAATACAGGTGATGATGCAGCCACTCTTCAGTCCCGGCTGGACAATGTTCAACTCCAGCTGCATGAACAAAAGTCTGTGTGCAAAGAAAAGGAAGAAAAGCTCAATAGCTTGAAATCCGAGTTGGCTACTAATAAGTAAGTACTAATAAAAGTTTAATTAAAACTACCAATGTTTTGTTGCAATATTTATTTTTAACAATTTTAATGTAACACACATTATGAAACAAGTATAGTTTTGCATTTTATATTATTATGGTACAAATTCCAATTCAATATTATTGTAATAATTTCATTCAGACATTTATTTCCCATGTTTTATTTCACCTATGTTGAAAAGTGTTAACAATTACTTTAAATATAGTAGTATTCACATATCTTGGTGGCTCTTATGTTCATGTGAGTTGGAGCGTAAAAAACAATGTTAGGTGTAGTGGAATATAGGGGACCATACTTGACAATGTATTAATGTCCTTGGGGTACCAAGATATTTGAAAAGAACTATAGTCATAACTCTATACCTTTGCAGAGAGATGTTATCAAATTGTGAGCAAAGATTAGTACAACAGGAATCAGCTATTGCAGCGTTAAAGGAATACAACAATTGCCTTAAAGTTGAAAGTAAAAAAGTTAATGCATTAAGAGAAGAGAACCAGAACCTTAAGAAGAATATTAGCACAATGCATCGGTAAGATATATTTACTTTTAATTCATCAAGTTAACACATTCAATGCTGTATATATTTATGTATAACAAGCGAACTGGCAAGGCAAGTTAGTGGCATCAATAGTGTTAATTTTTTTTTTTCATATTTACAAATTGTATCTTTAACAACTAACTAGCACCCTGGACAAGATTTCTACAACCTTGACTCCAGGGTGTTGCCATACCAGTGAAGCCCTTTGCTTTGCGGAGACCTGGGCGATCGCCCCTTCCTAACACTGGCACTGTATATTTACATATGAACATGTAAATTAAATAATAAATAAGTTCAATTACTAATTGAAAACTTCTTTTTGTGTCTTTTATGAAGCTAATAATTGTTATTACAACTGGCAGGTTGCTCTTAGCTACAATTTATTTGAATAACCAAGTTTTCTTAATTTTTTTTTAAATTTTAGGCTACAGAAAGTATTGAATGCAACCAGTAGTGAAGTGGAAACAATGTTGGAAGGTTATTCTGATGTCAAAACTGTTGCAGTTTTCGCAACAGCACTGAAAAGGTATCTATAACTTTTGGTGAACTAGTTACTTCCAAAACGACTGAATCTCAATAAAATTTGGCATACATATAGAACATAGTCTGGAAGAACACATATGCTACAATTATGTTGTTTTAATTCCGCGCGAATGCAGTCGCGGGTGACTGCTAGTTGTATAATAATACCTACAAGTTAATTATTTTTACTATAATTTTTGGTGTCCGTTCTAAGTAACACAGAGGTACTTTGTAACTTTTTAAGGGCTTTATGTGAATCTGAAGCAAAGAAAAATGAATTACGCAATCGATTAGATGAAGTTACTAAAATGCTTGTAGAAGAATCAAATAAATTGGCTGATGCAAGACAAAATTTAAGGTAATTTTTTTAATTTAATTTCTTAAAATTACTATTCAAATGTAACTTTTCTAATTCAAAGTGAATATCTGATTTTCAAGACTTTTCTAGTTATTTTTGAATGTCAACAATTTGAACATTCTTATTTTAAACACATTACATGCGTCAGTGGCACTTTTTTTTTTACCCGAATTCGCTGAAATAGCGAAGCGAACTCTGTCCATATATATCTGTAATTGGAGAGGCGTTGCTTACCTTTGATCAACGGATGTGGACGAAAACATTACGATTTTCCTTCCAATTCTTTCCTTCTCGGCTAAATCCACTTCCCCTTCCCATCATTTCCTTATAAGAAAAGGGTGGGAAGGCAACATGGACTACAATTAGGTTTTAAACAACCTCAGGTCAGCAGAAGATGAGATCCAAGAATACCGTCTTCGGGTCTTTCAAGATCAGAAACGTGATGCAGCGCAAGCATTTGGCATTGAAACTGAAAATATAGATACGAAAGTGCAAAAGATAGATCAAGATGCAATAAATTTGGATAGCCCTAGTGTTGTAAGTATATGTTTATACTAGCTGTTGACCGCGGATCCGTCCGCACGGAATTAAATAAAACTTAATTTTGTAAAGTTGCCTGACTATGTTCTATATCCATTCCAAATTTCATCGAGATGCGTTCAGCCGTTCCGGAGTTAACTTCAAACAAACATCCATCCAAACATTCACATTAATAATATTAGTATCTCTTTTTAATATATGTTTTGTATATATTTTTTTTTTTATATGAAATGTATTATATTAGAAATGTATATAAATAAATAAGTGGTTTATTAGTAATATTATCAAAAAAGACACAAAAAAGTCAGAATTATCTTTAAAAAGATATGTTTGAAGTGTTTTGATTTTGGAACATCCACGATTATGTCTTCTATATGAAGGTTATACAGTATGAGTCTTTTTAACAAAAAAAAAACTGAATAATATTATAGTAATTATTTTTTAAATATTGAAGTCTAATTGAATAACTATATAAATTCAAGTGAAACCAGTAGTTTTCTTTATACATATAATATAAATTGAAAATTAATTATTTTGTTCAATATTAGTTTAAATTAAATTAAAAATTATTAATTTAATTGTGGTTTAAATTTCTTTCAGAAAACTCTTGTGGATGAGATAGAGAACTCAGACTCACCATATCTAAGACTGAAGCAAAGCACACTTGCTCTTGCAGCATTACAACAGAGGAACCCACCCGCTGTCACAAAACCATTAAAGGTATCTCCATCAGGTCATATCTCATCAATTGATTCCAAGCTAAACCAAGTTAGGGTCTACTCGGCAGACCCAAGCAATCTCTATAGCCCAGTGCGAGTTCACTTCACATATATCTTTTTTTAATTTCTTTACCGATATGTGTAGATGTGTTCCTTCACCATAAGACTATTATAACTTGTTTTATTACCAAGTCTGGTTTTAGTATTTCTGGGTGTCCCGGGCAAGGACCTATGTTCTTCATCTATATCAAATTTCAGCGAGATCCATGCAGCTGTTTTGGAGATAACAAACATCCATCCATCTATACATCCAAACATTCGTAATATTTGTAAAATTTAGGAGTTCTACTGAACGGTTATGTTAATAAGACAATTTAATTTTTTAAATTATTTATTTAACATTTCTACAGCCATCGGAATTTGGAATATTGAAGCCTGCAAAAAGTTCAATATTGAAGAAAACATTTTGTACTAACACAAGTATATTCCACAAAAAAATGCCGGCAACACTAGATTTCGAGAATAAAGATCAAGAGATTAACTTAGATGTAACTTATGATGGCCTAGGTGGACATTCTAAGCCTAGTTTCTTCCCTGTGACTAAATCACCTAAGCCTAGATTACCTAAGTTGACAGCTAAGCATAAACTTAGGAGGCCCACTAATACTGCAGGCAGTCGGGACATAAGTAAAATGTTTGAGAAATTATCAGACGGAGATTCATAACAAAGGTCTATTTTGATGTAGTCAAAGAAATAATTAACCAACCCACCTAAACCATATAGTTTTTTAGAGTAAATGAGAAAGAATGACTATATTTTGTACAATTTTAGGTAGTTGATTCATTCAATAACAAATACTTTTGAAATAATTTAAACAAAACAAGAACAATTAATAATTTCTCCTATACTTTATGATTTATAAAAAAAAACACTTAATTTTAACTAAGAATGCTAGTATTAGACTTAATTTTTTTATTGCATATTTTTTACAATCATTGTTGGACAATTTAACTTATTTTCTTAATTAAAGAATGAACAAAACTTAATACTTAACTTTAATATAAATAATATTTTCTTAGTAACTGATATAAAAATTTGAATAACTCCATTCATATATTTGGTGCAGGCACCAATTTATCAAAGAACTTCACTATAGTTAAACTTAAGGTGAGTACAGACTAGGGTATTTGTAACAGAACAAGCCACTCTATAATATGTTCTAATATGAACCACACATTGGAAACGGTGCGTTTACATAGAAATGCTTGACACAATTCTCTAGTGTATTTTCACCTTTATATTAATCCATATTACTATCTCTTTCATTCTCTTTGACAAAACAGAGACAATTATACTTTCATGTCACTGCATTGGGATAAATATTCAATTAAATGTAAAGGTTTTGTGTACAAGCTATTTATTTTTGTGTAATTTAGCTTATATGTTCTTCCGAACTATGTTCCTACATCTATGCTAAATTTCTATGAGATCCATGCAGCCATTCTGGAGATATCTTCTAAGAAACATCTATCCATCCAAACATTGGCATTTATATAAGTAAGATTACATAATTTGAGTTTTGTTTTTTTTTAATTGATTGTGTTTTGTATTATTAAGAAGTTGGATAAATATAATAATTAAAATATATGATGAAAAAGTCTTTTTTTTTGAGATCTTTTAAACTATTATTCATTCATTTCATGAATTGATATTAAATATCATTAATTTGAAATCAAGTTTAAAAATAAATAATTCAATAAATATACATTTGTTACAACAGACATTAAACTAATAATTAATTAAATATAAATAAAATGAACTACAATAAATTACATTTACATTTCTAATTATATCAAATTATATTTCTAAATTAAAGTTTGTCTTTATTATGCATTAATTTCAATCAATCTACAGAAATATCTTAAAACAAACTAATTAAACTGATATATAAACACTGCTAAACACTCACGTATGTTCGTCCAGTGGCAGCACCGACTTGTTTCGAGCCCATCGGGGGCCCTTCATCAGGATGAGTGGTACTGGTATTATTTCGCGGAAAATAATAAATAATACCAGTACCACTCATCCTGATGAAGGGCCCCGGATGAGCTCGAAACTAGTTGGTGCCGCCACCGGACGAATATACGTGAGTTTTTAGCGGTGTTTATATATCAGTTTAGTATGTCTCACGAAAGTTTGAATAATTTAATAACAAACTAATTAGTATATAGATAATACTCACATTCAATTTTTAACAATTTCAAAATACAATAAGGTTTTTAAAACCTTGTGTACAAACCCCACACTGGGATAAGGCCAGGGAGATTACTCATGTCTAATTTTCCTACAACAGCAATTTAAGTCTTGAAACAAAGCTGATTTTTTATTGAACCCTAATGAAAATTTACTGTTAGTTTCTGAGACTAAAATCTCTATATAAAACATTGCCATTACCTTTGATAAAGCAAAGATAAAATTATGTTTAAAAGTGGGAATTTGGTCTCAGAAACCCGCAATTAGTTGTAGTTATATTTTAGAATATCAAATGATCTACTAATTCATGGTTTTTGTGAGTTTTATATTTATGTAAAAAATTTGCTATGTAATTGCGTAATTTGTCTGTACTTTATATATTGTGTAGCAACATGAAGACTAAAGATTGAATTTAATACAATGAGTTTAAATTTTACTATTCTTTTTTTTATAACTACCAGTTTTTAAATAAGCTATTTAACTGTTGCCACTTGTATCACTGAGGTTTAATTCTTTTTGGTGTTTTTCAGTATTCAAGATGTTATCTTTTTCTTGAGATGTAACAGTTTGTTCTGCATCTTCAAGCTGTTGTTGAGATGCAAGATATTCTGCGTATTTTTGACGCATCCTAGCCAATCTAACTCTTGCCTCATATACTTCGATTTCGAGCTTTTCCAAGTCATCTTTCTGTCTTTGTCTAGATAATTTACCAGCAAGTGATCGAGTACTGCGACGCGAAATGTTAGATCGCTTTCGCGGCATTATTGCTAATTTTTGTACTTCACGAAACCCATGATGATTAATTCCTACAAACCAAAAAATGTGGTTAAATGTGAGGAATTATTCTTAATTGTTTGGTCTATTATCCTATTGTTCAATAGTAAACAAATGTAGAAGAATCTTTTTTTTTTAATAAAACATCAAATTCTGATACGATTTTCAACTTACAAAATGCATTTGCTCAGTTGAACAGCACAGAATTTCTAAATATATATTTTTATTGTGATGATTTGAAAATAGTATCACCCAACAGATGTTGACACAAAGAGTATTTTTGTAATAATCGATAATATCAAAATGTTTATATTCTGAATTATTGACACAACTTCAACAAAAATCCCAATAATCCTCCTGCCCTTGACAGAATGTATATGACAATGACAGCATGTGACAGGTCAGGCAGACTCAGATGACAGTTAGTGTTTCTGGATGACAACATTAAGTTTTTACGTTAATCGTAATCGATAGTATGACTAATTAGCTGATTGCTTGGATTTTTTTCGCGAGTTAAGCATGAAAGAACACAAATTCAAGTGTTTTTAATTCCTTTTTTTTTTTAATGAAAAGTTTATTTCAGAACTGTATATTGGTTATTTTATTTAAGAATTGAGTTGTCAATGTCATTATGACAGACAAAACAGGACAGAGAAGAAAGTGTCCCATGAAGATTATTTTTAAAATCATTTCTATTTATAAATTACTTTAGATTTTCATAAAATAACGTAACACTTTATCTGAGGCACTTTAAAGTGTCGTGTTTATATCGCAAAAACATAGTAAGCGTAAAAAACGCGTGTGTTATTTTATTTGTTTACGCGCGGTTTATGATCGCTTATTTAAACTTTTGTGGCGTGAAAGTGCTAATTAATACAAATAAACTAAAAAATCATTGAAGTTTTATTCATAGAACACGATGTCTTCCGTAGTAGGACGTTCACGAGTGATGTAGATAAGATCGTGAAAAATATAATCTTTATTTTGATTTCTGATTAGACGATATGGACATGTTAATTTTTTGTGAAAGAAGACTGTGTATATTCTATTTAGGACAATTTTGATATTTATCGTGTTATAAAAGTGAATTGTTTATTTAAATATTCAAAATGCCTGGGAAAATAAAAGTAAAAGTTCTTGCTGGACGCAACTTGCCGGTGATGGACCGGGCAAGTGATACCACCGATGCGTTTGTGGAAGTCAAATTTGGAGGTGTTACCCACAAGACCGATGTCTGTCGGAAGTCATTGAACCCACATTGGAGTAGTACAGAGTGGTACAGATTTGAGGTAACTAAGATAAAGATTTTGTTCCTTTTATGTCAAAAAAAAAACATTCATTTATGTTAAAAAATGTAGACAAATACAGTTAAAGTGTAATATCATTATTATCCTTTAGAAGTAAATGTTTTTAGTAATTATTTCTGTAATTATTAGTTGATGTTTTATTTTTAATCCCTTATAAAATAAATAATTTATGTTAAAAATAAATTAAATTATACAATTTTTGGTATCTGTCTCAAATATCAATAAGAAGTGTCAAATTGTTCCATACTTATGAGTAAATATTTAGCAACCAGTGATATACTCTTAATCTGGCTGCAGCTCATTAGATCATTTAAAAGTATGGCAAAGCGTATGGCCAGTATCCATATATTAAATGTCAGTCAATGACACTGAGAAACACATTTCGTGGTATATAGTCCCAAATCATAATTAGGTATAGCTGTTAGCTGCGACTCTGTGCATGCTGAATTAAAAAAAACTTAATAAGTTCCTACGTGTAATTCCAGACTATGGTTTACATCAATGCCAAATTTCATTGTGCTCCATTGAGTTGTTCGTGAAATACCTTCTAACAATCATCTATGTATCCATCCATCCAAACATTCGCATTTATGATTTGTTTTATATCAATTTATGCTGAATTTAACTGTAGTGGAATAACTGCTACGCATATTATGTTGTATACGTAATATTTTCAAGGTCATTTTTTCATTTTAAACTCCATAATTTGGCTGCGACGCGATGTTATTTTGGGGCGCCACGTCTGACGAATGTCTGGTTTTTATAAACAAACTCTGAATTAATAGATTCATACATTGATAACTGTAGAGTTTATTTAATATCTCGAGAAATATAGTCATTATTTTTTATGTGACATAAAATATAAGATGAAAATAAAATACAAAGTCAAAGAAAGATATAAATTAAATTACCTGACACACACAGATAATTTTAACTGATGTGTATTTCAAAAACATCAGATAAAACGTATACGCAACTTATGACTGAGACAGCTATCATGCGGCATCTCATTCGCACGCGATGACGTATTATGCGTTTCGTATTAATACCCCCATGCACTTCAACACTCTTTCTAATAGATATATCAAATACAAATTCAATTATTTCTTGTTTTTATACCACAGGTGGACGAATCGGAATTACAAGACGAGCCTCTACAATTACGGCTTATGGACCATGACACGTATTCGGCAAATGACGCGATAGGCAAAGTTGTGATAAGCCTCGCGCCCCTACTCGCTAGAGAGGCTAATAATGCTAAGGGCACAGGAGGGCCTCCTGGCGGTAATTATAAATTAAATGTTACATCGTTTTTCATTCCCGTTATGTTTTTTTTTTGGTAAAATTTGATGAGTAACTGCCGAAATATTTTTATTTGCTTTTCCTCGATATTTTTAATCCATTTGTTTCAAATTACCGATGTAAAAAAATCTATTTCTACATATTTGTTCTTCAATTTGGTGATTGTTGTGTATTTTTTACAGGCGCAGTGATGTCAGGCTGGATCCCCGTATTCGATACGATGCACGGAATTCGTGGTGAATTAAACATCATCGTGAAAGTAGAATTATTTTCAGATTTCAACAAATACAAGACTTCGAGTTGTGGTGTGCAGTTCTTTCACTGTTAGTATTATTGCACCAATCATATTAGGTGAAAGTCTTACCGTGGGTTTCTGATAACAAAATCTCATCCATCTCAGTTTTGTCAAATATGTTTAATACAGAGATTTTTGTCTCAGAAACCAACGGTTAGACCTATAACAAAATCTATGCGCTTTGGTATTAGGTCCAATGATCCCACCTGGATACCGTGCGACAGCAATCCATGGCTTCGTGGAGGAGCTAATAGTCAACGATGACCCTGAGTACCAGTGGATAGATAAAATCCGTACGCCGCGAGCATCCAATGAAGCCAGACAAGTCGCATTCATTAAACTTAGCAATCAAGTAAGTACAGACTTACTACAGCACTCAGAGTCGTCTTATTTAAACAGTCGCATAGTTTAAATCACTCATACTGAATCTACAATGGTTCAGTGAAAACTTAATGATTGTGAAATTGCTAGTAAGTATTGCCAACTTCCCAAAATAATGGAACCAGGTGAGCAAGTGTTTTTATTTTAACGTTTTACAAAGATGGTAATAGTAGATCTAGAACTTTTAACAGGCTTATAATGTCTAAGGTACAACGTCTGGTGGGTCTGAAGGCTGCCGAGCTGGGAGCTAACGCTGTGGTGGGATACCAGCAAGACTTCGATTTAGAAGGCGAAGCTGGTGTCGTCGCTAGAGCTATCGGTATTTGAATATCTTACTAACTTACTAATATTATAAATGCGAATGTTTGGATGGATGGATGGTTGTTTGTTTGAAGGTATCTCGGGAACGGCTCAACGGATTTTAATGAAATTTGGCACAGTTCTAGAACGTAGTCTGGAAGAATACATAGGCTACTTATTAAGTTTTTTTTATTTTTAATTCCGCGATGACAGAGTCGCAGGCAACAGCTGTTTCTTATAAAGTTTAAAAGATTTCTTAATAACTATTCCTGTGGAATCATCAGCGTACTGCTAGTCTAATTTTCTCAACCCTGGTAAGGGAGACTTTTAGAGTAGATTTCACATCGTAAATCTACACTAATTGGGAACATTTGTATGCATGAGCATTGCCTTTGTACGACAGTTACTCAATATTCTTGTAAATATACGTATTGTCAGGAAGAAAACCCGAAAATTTGCTAATGTACCCAACACTAGTCTTACTGAAATGTCGACGTGTGTCCCCTCACTTATCATTCTGAGACTGGACTTTGTAACGAAAGCACGTCATTTGCGCCAAAGGATTCTAACTAATAATGTCTAAAAGTATAAACGTTGTTCCAACAGGAACTGCTGTCAGTATAACTCCACTGCCAACACCGAGCCATCCAATTAACATCCCACCTTGTTCACAGCAGTGAGTATTGTATATAAAACGTCTGAAATCTTGCAAAATATCTAATCTTAAATAAAAATAAATACCGCCAATTGTTATCAAGTTGAAGTACATATAGAGGATTGTCAAATGTTAAATAGTCCAAATCAAATAGCTTTAAATGTGATTTTCGATGTTGTCCCGTCGTTTAAAGTAACAATTTATCTAAGCTAAGTGAAAATAAAAAAAGATACTCATGAATATATGTTTGCATGGTTTGTTGTGTGTTTCACGTTGGCTAAAACTAGGCAGCTAATGAAATATTTGGATATTTTGGCGACGGACGATGAAAGTGTGACAGATCTGGCAGAATATTACCAGAACCATCAGGATGAACTGCTTAAACTTCTAAACATACTAAATCCTAAAGCTCCATATCTTCTAGATGACCCTGATACCATTGATGAGGATGATAAAAGCTTAGAACTAACAAAAGATACTAATGCCAAGAATTATGTAGGTGATCGTTCTATCTACCAAGAAGACTATGTCTCTCGACAGAGTTTGAGACATCTCTCTGAAGATCAAACAGATTTGAATCGCTTGTTGAACAGAGCAAGCGATTACGATTCCGATAGTTCGGGACCGTTACAAAAAATAAAAAAGATTAAAACCACTTTCTTTACTAAAAGATTCTCAGGACCAAGGTCACGTAAAACTGAAAAACAAGACGATCAAGTATCAATCAAATCAAATTCTTCAGATAATTCACGTATATCTTTAAATGATATAAAGAATGAGCTTAAAAAGTTAAAGAAACTGAAAAAACCGAAAATGCGTAAAGTGGTTAATAAAGAAGAAGAAGGTATAGGCATGGCGTCTATATTGGCCAGATCAGTAATCCACGCACAAACAAGTCTGGCTTGTATCGCAGAGTCTCACGACTCGGAACATTCGCCGGCATCTACTATGAGACAGACGAGCGAATCAGAACCCACTTTAAATGTGTCTGATGATGAAAAAGTTCGACGCGATTCAACACACGTACTTACAGATGAAGCCGAGAAAGATAAAAAAATCATACCAGAAATATTTTGTTCTTCTCTGGACAATATCAAAAGTGTTGATAGCGAAACTAAAAAGGATGATACTAGACAGAGGAAGCTATCTGAATCCTGTCCCACTACACCTGTAGTAGTTAGAAGCGATAATCTCCTAAAGTTGCCTGGCGAAGGAGATTTTTATGGTTCAATATCGTCTGCATTATCTGTAGGTAGTTCTGAGTATACCAGTTCGGAGGAAGATGATGAAAGCTTTGGATTAAAAGACTCAAACAGAACAATCGAGACTACAAGCTCTGTGGTACAATCTGTTTTAAGTCATGATGCTAATCCAGATTTTATTGCCCAAATGGAAAGAAAACTAACATCACTTGAAGAAAAGAAACAAGACTTATGTGATGTAAATACTGGTCAAGATAATATTGAAGTTAAACTCGAAAACGATGTGTTTAAAGATAATGTTCAAGAGGGAAAAAGTAAGACAGTAAAAATTGAAAACGATAGTAGCAATGGAAATATCCCAAGCACTTCGAAAGCGGACTCTCATAAGGATAAAAACAAGTGCGTACTTAGTAATACTATCAAAGTGAACAACCCTTTTGCTCACAAGAAAGCTTCTAAGAGCATTAGTGCACCTTCCTCCCCAGTAGATAAGAAAAGCTTTGTATACCGCTCATCAAAACGTATAAAACGTCAAATATCTAAGCTCACTAAGAGTAGTATGATGAAAAGCTTGTCTCATTACACCCTTAGGCCAAAGAAAAAACACGAGACCCCCAAAACTGCCATGAGCCAGCCCGGTTCCGCCTCTGACGTTACCTCTAAAGCTCCCAGTGAAACCGTTTTAGGTTCCCCTTTCCTCTCTTACTCTGATCTATTGACTCTCGACAAAGAAGGATTCGAATTAAATCGTCTTCACAAAAGCGATGAAACGGGAATCGCTAAAGTTTCCATGTATATAGGATCAGAACCGGTTTCACGGATGTCATTTAGCGGTCCCTCAGGATGTCACAGTAAAAGCCACAGCTTCCGTGAGCAGCGGTCCCGGAAAAAAGAAAGATCTTCAATCAGGCCCGCCGGTTTGGTTCAGACCGCGATGGAAACTATGTTGATCGATAGAGTGCAATCTTTATTAATACCAACATCGCCCGATCCGGTTAAAAGCGATGATAAGAAATTTTTCGATGACGTTAATGAAAAATTAGAGCAAATTGAGGTGTCCAGAAATAAAGAGGAACAGAGTAAAAATCAATCGAAAAATGTAAAGAAGCAAGATAGCGCGAAAGATAAAAAGAAACTCGTTCGTCAGGACAGCATCCGTTCAACCGCGTCCATTACCGAGTCGTCCAAAGTATCCAAACCCTTAGACCCTAACCACATCATTCCATGCAAGTTAACAAGCGCACCGGTGTTGCAACATTTTCATCCCATACTTAGCGGCGGTCAACTAGAGAGCATACCATCGCTGCCGGAGACCAGCTTGGATCGCACGGAGAGTTTAGACGTAGAGGGGGTAGAGTGGGGGGCGACTAACAGTGCTAGTGCGTGTGACTTGCATGCAGCGTGCCGTGTTGACAGGAGCGAGCGCGACAGGGGGGACAAGGAGAGGGGGTCGCCGCGACACGCGCGTCACGAGTCGTACGGTGGCCGCGACGCTCCGCCCCCTGCCTCCGCCCCTATACCAGCCCCCGCCCCCGCACCCGCGCCCGCGCCCGCCACTCCTGCTCAGAACGTCTCCGTGCACTCCACATCTATACCCGTCGGGATACATAGAAGGTCATCGGATTCTGATCTTAGCATCACACCGAAAGGTTAGTAGTTCCTAGATCTAAGTCAAACTAAAGATTGATAATAAATTTGTTTCTCTTAAGATGTGTCTTACGATATAAAATAATATTGAGATTAAATGGTACATCGTTGAACTATTTTTAGAAGAAATTCATACATGTTATTGATGGATTCCTCAACCTTCAATCCAGGTAGTTCCCTGAACGCGTCCGGTGGGAACACTGTCGGTGGGGGAGCCATCTTGCGGCCCTCCATGAACAGCAATAACCTGGACATGCTGGAGTATCCATTCCTCACCATGACAGAGTACCCGCCTGGATTCATCGTGCACATAGGTATGTGCAACAATTATTTTATGTGTATTTTTTTGCGTCTTATCTATCTTACAGCTGCTTATGTATTGTCTAGATTCTACACCTGATTTCACAACTTTTTGTAGCTTGATTTGTGTCTTTTTATAAGTATAAGATATTTTCACTCTATATGTGCCATAATATGTGTTTTATTTTAACGATAATTTAACGATTACGATCACATTTTCACGCTTATTTTTTTTAGATTACCATTTGTTTTTCAAACCATAATCTTTGTACCAAACATATCGTCATCCCTGTCATTATCTTTGAGAAAACAGAGATAACAATATGTATTAACCGGTGATTTTGATCTGGGCAAGTGTCAGTCAGTAAGATAATGATGCGGTAGGGGGGACAGTATGCGCGCGGTCAGTGAAGCTGGTGGATGGGGGCGGGGAGAGCGCGTCGCGCGCAGCCTGGTGGGCGGAGCTGCGCACCGAGCTGCGTGCGCATGCGCGTGCGCTGCGCTGTACCGCCGTACTCGCTTACTGCGAGAAGGCCGCCGTCAGGTACACACACATACGACTCTTCATGGACCTAAAAAGGAAAAGGATGAATGAATGGACGGATAAAAGGATGGATTTTATTTAGGCCTGTAGGCTGATGTTTTATGACTTTTTAGGACGATATTAATAGGAAAATATAGATATATTATAGCTTACTCTGAATTTCGATTATCAAATGTGATTTCGAGTGTTTATTTTTTTGTGTAAAATTAGTCATATTCATTGATAAAATCATGTTTGTATGTGCAGGGAAGATGTGTGCGTGTTGTCCGCCTCGGGTACTGCGGCCGTCATCAACTTAGACTGCGAGTTTGTAAACGATGAACATCCTGTTACAGGTCTGTACCAGCCTCGTCTTTTTATTTATCTATTGGCAGAGGTTTCAAGCACTTGCTCTATAAACATTAGAGATATCTGCTCTTGTCGTTGGCCCGGAGAGACAGGAATAATGTGAACTGTATGTATGTAGTGGGCAGTAGTAAGAAGGTGATAGAAGAGCGGGAGAAGGAGAGGGAGAGGGAGAAGGAGAGGGAGGTGGAGGTGGAGGCGGAGAGCTGCAGCGCGGCGCACGTGCCGTACAGCGCGGGGGGCGGGGAGGTGGCGGCGTGCGGGGGGTGCCGGCGCGCGCGCGTCCCCTCCGTGCTGCTCGCCACCTGCGCCAAGCCCCCCGCCCTCGCCGCGTACCCCACCGCTGTCACACTCACCGCTGTGGGTACGTACAACATCGACAACATCCACAACATCGACAACATCGCTCACACCATTACATTCACTTTTCAATTTATAACAAAATAATATAATATATAATAATATAAATTGTAAAAAGGCAAAACAAAAAAATATGTATTTTTAATTGTCAAGGAAAATGTATAATTACAGAAAATTTAAAAAAATAAAACCAACCTAAACTTATTTGTCTATCTACCAAAAGGAAAAACAGTTTCGTATACCTGGTCCATAATGACTGTCTAGCTGCTCGCGTGCGACGTGCTCCGCCCGCATCAGAGCCTGGTGCACGAGACATCTCCGACCAGCTGCCCTTCCTGGAGTACGAGCTGCATAAGCTGCTCCTCGCCAAGCTTCGCATGCAGGTCAACCTCAAACACAGAGAAATAGAGCGACAAGAGGGAGAGAGAAAGGGAGAAAAGAGGAGAGATAGTAGTAGGGAAAGACGATTTTAAAGAACGATTGATAAATTGTGACCATCTTTACCATTTTCATAGGTTAAGTTATAGACAGATAAAGAAGTTCAGACAGATAAGTGACAGAGACAAAAGATTTCTTTGTCTCTTTCAAGGACTAGACGATCATCACATATTAATATGTAGTCGGCAGCGGTGAATGTGTTAACTCTATGATTGCAGGGCGCGAACGCGATCTTCTCTCTGCAGACTCAGATTGCAATCGGCGAGCGCTGCGTGATGGCGCTGGCGAGCGGCACTGCTGTACGTCTCGCTGCGCTGCCGCCCCCCACACCGCCCACCATCAAGGTAACCGCGCCCACAACCCACAAAACATTGCCCCCCATCAAATTAACCACGCTTCTAATAGACTTTACTTACTACTGTCAAGATTACTATGCCCTCAACATAAACCACCGCCCACCATCATTAAAACCACGCCCCCATCAAACCTCCGCCCACCACCGACTGAAATACGCCCCAACCTAAAACATCTAAAAATTATGTCCCTCAAACCTATTTAATCTAAATTTACTATTAAATAGTAAGGTATGAGTATCTGATGAAACACATATTAAATTTTTGTCTGTTTGCTTGTAGGTTTGTCAGTTCGTCCGGTTTAATTACAGACACTTCTTAACCGATTTTGATGCAATTTTTCTCTACTAACATAAATAAATAAATAATTTACAGGCATCAGAGAACGACAAGAACGCACTGGAGATCCAGCGCGCGCTGTGGGACACTTTCCAAGCTAACCGCACAGCCAATGGATACGATTTAGGTATTTAACTAAATATTACTTAATGGACTAAATCCATAAACAGAGAGCAAACAAATGAATAATCCAACTTTGTATAGAAATTGGAATTTTAAAGAGTTTGCCTATCACTAATCTTGACCACCAAATATTTATCAAATTTTATGCCAAACTAGCTGCCGCCCACGACTCCGTCCGTGCGGAGCTAAAAATAAACTTAGTAAGTGGCCAGTATGTTATTCCAGACTATGTTCTATATCTATGACAAATTTCATCAAGAACCATGCAGTAGTTCTGGAGATACCTTCAAACATCCATCTAAACTTTCGCATTTATAATATTAGTAAGATTGCTTGAAGCTATTGTTAATATTTGTATGTTGTTAGCTTGATTGATTGAGCAAGTAATTTACTCTGTCAGGTCCTCTGGAGCAAGGCTGCAACGGCTCTTTGGTGGAGTCAGAGGAGCCGCCTGTGTTAGAACTGAGTGCAGACAAAGATGCCTGCGTCCTGGAACTTGATGAAGCTGAAGATGTAAGATTATTTTATTTTACAACATCGTTTACCTTCTCTCTTTCATCGATTAAAGCTAGGCAATGTATCTGGAATTGAGTATGTCTATGCGACTTGATCGCTTCGCCATTTCGGCGAATCTATATGTTAACTTGCTTCGTATGATATCTTATAATATTTATAAAAAATATGTATTGTTGTGAAGGTGGAGACAGCCAAGTCCCTAGCAGTGAGACACACGACAATGCAGGTGTACACGCCCAGCCTGCGCCCCGCCCCCGGAGCCCCGCCCCACGCCTTCATGCAGGTCGCTTACTGTCATTACATCTTTATTATATTGCTCTCTCTCTCTCATTCCCTTGCAATGAACAGAGATAACAATATATTTACTTACAATTGTTACATTTGAAATTCACGATTTCATTTTCTAAAGTTTAAAATGCAAGTTGTACTTCAGGGTAACTAATTTATTGCAGACTAGCTTGTCGCCCTTGATACCGTCGAGATATTTAAAAAAAACTTAATTAGTAGCCTATGTGTTCTTCCAGACTATGTTAGAACTTATGTAGACATCTATGAGAAATTTCATCAAGATCCGTTGAGCCATTCCGGAGATACCTTCTAACACACATCCATCCAAACATTCGCATTTATAATATTAGTAAGATACCTATGGACAACGGTCAATAGCTATTTTAGCGATAAGATATGACTGTTCTTTTGTCACCTGCTATATGGTGTCATGTGGTGTCATGTGGCAGGTGTGGCGCGCGCGGCTGGGCGCATGCGGCGGCGGGGAGCGGCTGGCGGGGCGCGCGCTGTCGGGTGCCGCGTACAAGCTGCGCCGTCTGCAGCCCGCCGCACTCGCCCCGCCCACCTTCCACCTCGACCTGCCCGAGGTACACGCACCTCACACACCTCACGCACCTCACACACCTCACACACCTCACGCACCTCACACACCTCACACACCTCACGCACCTCACACACCTCACGCACCTCACACACCTCACACGTACATACGTACACATTGTATACATGACTCGTTTTTATTGACATAGCCCTTACTCTAAAAGCACTAACTTCCACTCTTAATTGTTATGGGGAACCACTAAGTCTTGGTTTATTATTAAATTTACATTAATAGTCCCTTAGTGACATATATTATAAATGAGTCTTATTTGGGAGTTAGATATAAATTGACACGCCCACTTCTTTAAAACTTAACAGTAACATAATTAGGTTAGTGTTTGCTTTAGCCTGCTTAACACAAGAACTAGCAAACAGTTTTAAAAGATTCTCTTACTAATAGTGTAAAAACTGTTTTGTTACTACCTTAGGATGAGATCCAGCTAGTAGTAGCAGGTACAGCCATACCGCTGGCGGGGGCGGGGTCTGCAGCGGGTAGGGCGGAGCACAACGGCTCGCAGGGCTCCGCCCCCGATGCAGATGATGACATCTTCGCGCTGGATGAAGAGCAGCTCATCAAGCCTACCACTGAACTCACGGATGAGAAACTCAATGCAGGACAGGTAGAGTAGTGACATTGTTGAATATATTACTGTTATAGATAATCTGTTCTAGTTCAAAATAATAACAGTCTTCTTGCTTGGTTACCAACCAACCATCTTGAGATATCTACATGATTCGATTCCAAAAATAAGACTATATTTGTGGAGCATCGGAACAAAAACCGTGAAATCATATTTTGACAATTTTTTTATGATGCCAATTGGTTGTTACCATGAGTTCCATCATGGAGAACTTTTCCACAAAAAAGACATTTATCAGTTTTAGTTCCGACCTTCTTTATTTGTTTTTTAGTCATCATATCATTTTCCTTGTCCCACTTAGGTAAGTTCGGCGCAACAGGTTCCATCCATATTAATCTATCAATTAATTTATCTAAAAAAAATTCCAATAGAAGCGTCTGTTGGTCTGCTTTAATTGTATTTATATGTACACAGTCCCCTGTGCGCGTGTCTCTGTCTACACTGTGCGGTGTGGGCGGGGTGGGGGCGGGGTCGGGGGCGGGGTCGGGGGCGCGGCGTCTGTGCGCACTGCGCCTGCTGTTTGTACGTGAGACCACAGCAGTGCGCGAGCTGGGAGGACTCAGTGGCTTCATGCATACCTTCGCTTGCGAGGTACACACACACACACACATACATACACATTTTTACACACATTGACTACACAAAGTCCATAGAGAGGGTTGTAGCATGTAGCTTCCTTACCTGGTCCTATACATGGTGCCCCAAGATTTTTCCCTCATTAAAAAAGCACACTCTCAAGTGCACATATGAACACATGTGTAGAGATCACACAGTCACATTCACACACACTTTTTTACCTGAATGTCTCAGATGTGTAATTTTAATGAAATTTGTTATAGTTATAAATGTTGTTATTGTGTCAGGTGCTGGCGATCGTACGCGCGTACACAGCGGCACTGGGCGGCAACGCTCTCACCTCCTTCTACATCACCCAGCTGATGCTGCAGGACAACGCGCACAAGAACCAGGTCAGTGCTCACACAGATAAACTGGAAAGATGTCCATTCACTGTTTAAAACGAGTTGATTTGTAATGTTATTATAGAAACAATCAAATTAAAAGGAAAATCTTTTATAGTGAAGTGGATCTTAATTTTATAAGATTTTCACATCTTCAAATTCAATCAGGAATGGTAAAAAAACTGACGATTTTAAATCTTCTTTTAGAATTCATTTGAAAATGTTTTTACTTCATAGTTGCACACTGATAAAGTGAGACGAACTTTTTTTATGTCATAAAACAGCGAACAAGCGGCCACCTGAATTCGCCGAAATGGCGAAACGATCGCCATCCATAAATATCCACAAATGCATATTCATTACCTACCTTTAATCGACGGAAAATGGGAGGCACATAAAGATAATATTTCAATCCCCTCCCCCTTATACATTCCCTCTTCCGTCAAATTCACTTTCCTTATGAGAAAGGGGAGTAAGGAAAAGAGAATTAATGTAGGCCTTTGTTTAGGACTATTTATTTTTGTTACAGAAATATCTCTATCTCGCTCTATAGTTTTTTTTTAATTCCAGGGTCAGTGTCTACTCTCAGTGGGAGGAGATGTTGTTCATGTTATACATTAGTTTAATGGACACATATCTTAATTCCTTTTGACATATTAGTAAGATTGGTTCGGTTTTTGGTACAACGTACCGATTCACCTTTTATGTACCTTAAATGAAATGTATGGAATTTATCTTTAATGTAAGTTTATTGTGTGTTTATTGTTTAGTGAATTTGTTTACCTAAGATTTGAGACATGACATTTTTTAAATTTTACCAATTTAAAATAAATTGGCATTGTATTCAAATTTGAATAAATTATTGTAATTAAATGTATTTAAATTTGTCTTAAATAAATATATAAAAATAAGGTTTTAAGCGCGTTTTGCATCAAATGAAAAATATTTTATATTGTTCTTTGTGATTAAAATTTGTATGTCACTTGATCTCTATGGATGGATAGGTCATTGACAATGTAAGATTCTGCTTCGTTTTATTTACAGTGAGTTTCTAAGACCAACATCCAGGTTTAAAACATATCGTTATCTCAGTTCTGACAAAGAAAATAGATACGTTTTATAGAGGAATTTCGATCTCAGAAAGTCACTTAACCGCGATATTTCGATGTTCCTGGCAGTTAATTCTATCCTTATAATTAGTTAGAATCCTCACCAACCTTCAGTTAAAATGGCGACAATCAAATAGGCATAAAACACGATCATTTATAGCCTATCCATATATAGAGGTTGGATACCATTTGACAAGAGTATAACTGTCAATTTTTTTTTATATATGATTGTTTTCTTGCCATTATATGAACTGATGTTTTGACATGTTTAAATTTTGTAATTTTTACGTCAATGAAATTTTTCGTACCGTTTTTCTGTACATACGTATATATAAGTTTAGTTTAGGTACAATTTATATGGTGCTTTGTTTTTTTTTCTGAATGTCGCTTTCGACAAATCTTCATACAATCTTATCCTACAATAAAATCTTATTGAAGGCTAGTAAAATGTAATTTTTCAATTTGTCTTTAACATTAATAAGTCTTATGAAAATTCTCTGTATTTACAATAATTTACTATAATTAAAATTTTTAAAGTACTTATTTTATTGCGGTGAATTATTTAATAAAATATTTAATTATATAAGAGTTTTTATGACTGTGTATTTCATAAATGTATCTTAAAAAAACTTGTTTTTTTATTTTCTTACCATTTAAATAAAAATTGAGTGTTTTTTTGTTTTTTTTTGACGACATAGTTGGGCCAAAAGGAAGGTAGTTAGAGATGAAAAGTTTAACAGATTGTCACAAATATGTATTTATTTAAAACGTTACAATATTAAATATTCTTGCTTATCAAACGAAACGCGACGAAATGTTGACAACAATAATATAATATTACTTACAACTATTAATACTTGAATCAGTAAGTACATATTATAATTATATAACTACTTAATATTTATTCTATAAAAAAAAACAGAGAGAGAGGTTAACGTCCTATCTTGACAGCGATATGTCATTCTGACAGAATCGCGTTCGGATAGTCGCACTAAGATTTAAGTTTACAAGGAACATTTTTTTTTTCAAAAAACCTTTTGGACAAAGTAGAACTTATGCGAATCGGTTAAAGTAATAGTTGAAGCATCGTCGCTGCGTTTCGGTTGCGGTTAGTTTGCGGGTGGGTAGCGCAGCGGGCCGACAGGTCAGCGCCGGCGGCCGAAGCGAAGGAACGAGTGCACCACGTCTTGCCTCTTCATGCCAGAGTCGAGCAGTTGAGGATAGTCGCGGACTAGAGCTGCAGGAATAATATCTATTAATTACGACGATTTACAGAGTAACGTATATTTCAATTTCACATAGATAGTAAAAAAACACAGGTTATGAAACGACAAAGGATGTATTTTTAAAAAGAGATAATAGTTGTTGAAGATATCGCAAAAGATGACTAGGACTGTAGTGTAACAATTCTTTTCTACCAAAAATCTGTTCATTAAGTGAGAAGAAGGAGACTAGTTAACTGTCTAGTACTCTGGTAGTCGTATCGATAGGCTTCGAACCCTTCGGTTGGAACAAGTATGGATTGCTGTAAGTATTACCTTGGTATTCGGGCACCTGTTCGCCGGCTGCCTCTGCATACAGCTCGAGGAAGGTGTTCAGTGCCTGGCAGAAGCGTGCGGCGCGCGGGTCGTCCTCGGCCGCGCCGGCACACAGCTGCGCGGGTGCTGCCGCCGCCGCCACCACCAGCGCCAGGCACAGCGCCACTACGCTCCATTCCTTGCTGTTAAAAAAGCACTATTAACTATGTTACACCTAAATAACACACTTGAGTACACTTGAGCTCCTCGGTGGGGATATATACGAACTGCTGACACTTAACGAAGTTGATCTGTCGTGTATGCAGGTCTTAAAGGCTATAAAGTTAAGTGAGCCCCAATCTTACTTCTTATTAATATTATAAATGTGAATGTTAAGATGTATGTTTGTCTAGGGGTGTTTAGACGGATGGATGGATGTTTGTTTCCAGAATGGCTGTATGGATCTCGATGAAAATAGGCGTGGATATAAAACATAATGTGAAAGAACAAATACTTCTAATTTCATTTTATTCCTCGCGGATATATACGCGGGCGACAGCTAGTGGTATTATGTCTTATTTCTATCAAATTCTGACATTCTAAGTAGTTCTAATAATTTGCTATCATCGATTCTTGTTAAACTTTTTTTAATTCTAATTTCTTCTGCATAATTAAATAAATTGCAAAATAGAGTCTAAGTTAAATTTATGATTAAATTGATTGTTAATACGTAACAGTAGATCTGACAATATAAGTTCTATCTATATTTAAAAAAAAAACTAAAATATCTCGGCAAAACCTGCTCAAAATCAGACATCCCGATCTTTCTTGAGAGACTGAAATTTAATTCCAGTCACGTATAGTATTCATAATAAAAGCTGTAGTCGAGATCTATCCTGGACACAATTTTCCTTTACCTTTGTGTATTTTATTTCTCGTTTAACAAGAAACGATAGAAGTCAAAGGGATCTACAAATCGCATTTCTTTGCGATATTATCATATGACGTATTCATGATACGAGTACGGTGTGTGTATCCGAACGGTTCGTTAAATCTATATATAAAATAAAATCATGTTTGCTAAACTATTTATAATTCAAGAACCGATGAACTGATTTGACTGAAAATTGGTAGAAAGGTAGCTTAGAACCAGGAGACGGGCGCTTTTTATTCCGTTTCCGTGATGTAAAAAGTTTTTTTTTTAATTTCGCGCGTTAATTTCATGAGTGGCTGTGTGGTGTGTAGACTTTTGTTTTTTTAATACGAATGAAGCTCTGTTATTGGTTGAAAAATTGTATGGAAATTCAGAATTGTTAGCAGCAGAAAGCAGTTCAATCAAGATTGATAGAGATGTGTAAAATTTATTTGTATTCTTTACGAAATTTATTTCTCTTTTACTGTAACTGTATATGTAACCGTAAAATATTATATACATTTTTATTATTCGCTAACGTATAAATGTTATATCTTGTTCAAATAGACTAGTGGTTGTCCGCGACTTTCTCACAGCGAAATTAAAAAAATGAACTTAAGTGACTCCCACATATATCGGCTAACTTTCATTTAAAGTTTTGTCAGAATCAGTCCAGTCGATTTTGGAGGCAAACGTGGACTTACGGATAGACAGACGGACAAAAATTTATTTAAAAATATTTTTTTTGTTATATGTAACACAAATACATCGCGTTTACAATTTTTTTTTTCTATTTGATTAATTGTATTGCATAGATAAAGATCGCTTTAAATACTTTTACAACGGCAATTGTTTTTGTTTCATTTCGCGTTGTTAAGGATATAATTTAATATAATTTCGTCCAAGCCGGGTGAAGTTGGAATTTTTAAAAATGTTTAATCTTAAAATAATGAGATCTTTGAAGTTAAATATTTAAAGTTGCCAGAAAAACATTAAACAAAAAACATTGGAGAGTTGCCATGATTGTTTGAAATTAAAATATCTGTCAGGGTAACGATCTTCAATTTTTTTTTTATTTCCGCTTCTACTTCATTCGATTCTTTGCCATTTAGAAAAAAGAAATCTCAATTTTGTTAGATAACAAAAAACTATTTTTATTTAACCTTTTAGACACCTACAAAGTCTTACCCAAAATAAATCTCGAATACAATAAAACAAAAGTTCGGCATTTATTTGTCGAATGTGACCTCAACCTTATTGGAATACCGCAAGACGTCCAAACATATTGGTTCCATACATTGACAATAAAAACGACATTCGATGGCCAAATGTTGCTATCAAATAAATAGTTCGCGCCCGAACAAGGGTAGGATTTGCATTTTACTGATAATAAACTTTTGGGATTGACCGAATGGAAAATAACTACCCTACAAGTGTCCAACCAATACAGAGCTAAGAATGTACTGAACTTTTACGATAAGATTAACCAGGAACTTTAAAAAAGTTCTCATTAAATATGACTACGAAATATAAGTTACAAATTTCGGGTAACCTTAATATTCCAACATTTTAATTAAATTCAAAACAAATTAATAGTATAATATAAAAAACAAAAATTAAAAACTTTCTCTATCCTTTTTCATGGTCATAATATCATAAAGTTTGCTTCATAATAAAATTCGTTCATCTCAAACATCTTTGACGTCGCTCGCATAGAGATGAGTCGTAATCCGCGACACAAACAGGCCATTATAAAAGCCTCGTAATCTCACAAAGACTCTACAAGTTTTGTATGCCGCATCGCTTAATTTCATCCGCGCGCTTACCAACAACTTAAAATAGGATTTCAATATTGACAGTTTGGTATAAAAGAAGTCGAAAACATGATGTAAATAATCATTAACGTTAAAGCCTTTTATATAACTTGTTTAACGAACATTAGAATAAGAAATTACGCAAGATGTTTACATGAATAAACAAGGACATCACATACATAATTTTTTATGTACAGGAACCCAAAAAGCCCCGGGACCCGCGTTAATAAATGATACAAAAGAGGTCGGGTGGATGAGTCGTTTAATTAGCGTTAAGCGCAATCACAACAAAACAGGAAAACAAAATGCTAGCGTGCTTTTAAATAGAGCAGCGCCATCTAGTTCTTTTAGAACGAAACTTATATTTTTATCAAAATTGTATTTTTTATACATCCTTATTTCTATAATGATATACAGTCTTAAATCTATGATATAAAATAAAATATTTAAAAACGAATAATTTACTAAAATATGTTATTAAAAGGAGTCCCTTTAGGCAAGGTCCCGAAGATACTGGCAGCGTTCCCCCTTTGGACAGCTAAACTAATTCTTTGACCGAGGTAGCTGCCAGCTCTTCGGTCCCCTGTGATGTCGATTAATTTTTTTGAAATGTCCTTAAAAAGTCTCGACGCCAAATGGGACAAAATGCTATTCGGAGCCTAGACCCATGTATTTGCATGCTTTATGTTTGACTAACTGTCGTCCATTAAAAAACATAATAAGTCTATGTGTCTTTCCAGACTATGTCCTACATCCATGCCAAATTTCAGCGAGATCTTATTTTGACGGTTTATCCTGCATCCCTCTCTCTCTCAAGGTGCCTCTCCCTTTAACGGAGGTTGGCCGTCAGTTCAGTGAGTTTTAATCCTTCATAAAACTAGTAACTTGTACGAATTAACGCGAGAGTCTAAGATTGTGCAATACAGCATCGGAATCAGCAGGGAAACATCGCAGATTCATTCTTGACCTTGGATTACTAATACTTTACCAAGAAGACCGGGACACGGTGAAAGAGGCATCAAAGTGGTATGTCATTCTTTGTTTATTTATATTGTTATGGGACACGTAATTTTATCTTAGAGATAAACCCGTTTTGTACGTCATTTTGTAAAAAAAGTTTTGAGTATTGTCCGAGATGTAGTCATGGGGAGTTCCAGACAAAGAATAAAGCACGCTGGCTCACTGTATAAGAAATACTTTATAAATATTACATACGTAAATGTATAATATTTAGATTGTTTTTTTTTTTTGTTTGAATTTTAGGTAATGAAAACTCATTCGAATTAGGCATTTTCAAATAATATATACATACAAAATTGTCCTTTAAATTTGCTTTCAAAAACCACTAAATATAACCAAGAAAGTACAAAATATTTTGGTTCAAGTATTTATATCTATACAATTAATAAAATTGGAACTTCTGTGAGCGAATAGAAAGTTATATTTCACGAAAATTAGGTATTTGAGTTACTTGTCTGTCTGTCTGACTGACGTGCTGGATTAAATAAGGGTTTTTTTTATAATTTCGCACTAACGAAGTCGCGGTCAACAGCTTGTTTATTTCTAAGACAGCTTTAACTGTAACATATTTCATGCTGGCCATAACTAAAGCGTATTTTAACATTAAAATTATATTAATATCTTCTCTGAACTGAATACGTATGTAGTGCAAAACGAAAGTTGTGACGTGGGAACAGGTCTTGTGTTTTTTGGCGGGACCAAACCGCCTAAGGTAATGAGGCGACGTTAATGATTCGCTAATTTGAGGTATTTGAACCCGAGACCTCTCTGCATCAAGTACTTTTTCCACGTATTTCATTATGAAGAAGTTAAATTTGACGTTTTTAATTTAACTGGATGAAAATGTACTTCTTTCTGGTTATATCTAAAGTTTGTGGGTTACGATTGTTTAAATTTTTGTATAATAACATGTTATAATCGTTCACAAAAACAGAGACAATATAAATATTTGAGGTTATAAAAGAGTTTGCAAAAAATGTCTGAAAAAGTTAATCTAACTTTGTATCACAGTTTAGTATTCCTAAAATACCTTTCGATATCATTCTCCGTGCAATTTGGATTCATAATATGACCATCAAATACCGAGATATGACGCGTTATTTTCTCATCTGGGTCATCAGGATCTAATTTTGGGTTCCGATGACTGATTGGGTTTTTGGTGATGACGTAAACAGGTGCGAGCAAAATTATGCGAGATGGTTTTACGTAAGAGTTATTAAACATTTATTTATAATTATTAACAATATTGAAAAGTTGATACATTTAAGTATATAATAATACTGGTGGTCGCCCGCGACTCCGTCCGCGCGCAATTAAAAAAACATAATTAGTAGCCTATGTGTTCTCCCAGGCTATGTTCTATATATATTTTTCCCAATCCATATTTCATCCATCCATCCATCTAAACATTCGTATTTATAATATTAATAAGTAAGATTTAATTACAGCTTGCTGA